TCAGTCCAAGTGAGTCCAGGATGAATGAGCTGAGTGGGTTTCCATTCCATGGAGGACCCAGTTTCCAGGCCTCGTTCCTGAGAAATGCCAGCATTCCCCAGGATGTGGGCCAGATGCCAGGAGATGATGAGTACATGATATTCTCCAAGTTGAAATGGGGGGGTGGGAAGGGGAGGGGTAAGGGTCTTGGAAATGGTCTCGACCAGAGTTCCAAGGGGGATCTGCCCTCCTGTCCTTTTCCAGCTATGGTTCTTTTGTAGATTTACTCCAAGGGAAGCCTGCTTTCCTTCAGAAGGGGGTTTTCTTCTCCCTCCTCCAAGGTCCTCCCTAAGACAGTCATCTGACATTTTTATAGCGACCCCTAACAAATACTCATGGGAGCCTGGAAAATCAGAATGGGGTCTTGAGTTTTTATGGGAGTTTGCTGCCTCGAGCAACTTAGCTAACCAGGTCAAGCTTCTGCTGGCCACCCTCGTGAGAAGCCCGCCTCTGGTCATAGCCATATTGGACCTCACAGTTATCCAACCCCATTTACTGCCTTGCAGGCTAAAGGGAGCACCCCCTAGGCACTTGTCTGTCCCCAGACTTTGCAACAGTGTTCCTTCCTCCTTCCGGTCCTGGACTCTGGCTGAACAAAGGAATGGAAGTCTAGACCAAGCCGTGTCCATGTGTAGACCCTGGGACTAGCTCCCTTCTCTTGGCCTGTGATGCCATTTGGCTGACCAGCTCATGTGCCCATAGCACTGGGGTAAATTATCAAGAGAAAGGGGCAGAGGCAGTGAAGCGATTTTGCCTACTTTCCATCCCATGTCAGAAGGGTACAACTTCCTTATGACTACAAGAGGAAAACCGTTAGGTCTGCCCCAGGCTGAAGCCAAGCAAATTGAAGTCTGACCCCTAGGTAGCAGACACGAGGTCTGGGGTGACTCTGTGCCCCTCACAGGTGGGAAGGCCAAGGAGACCTCCCTGATTGATATATGCTACAAAGTTTAGAACCCCTGCACGGATGCTACAAACATCCACAAGCAACAGATGCCTTTATAGGCAGTCTATCTACACATCACACAGGTATGCACACAGTTACACAAAGGTGTGGAATGACAGTGTTCTCACACAGAACAAGTTACACTGGGCGATGTTTGGTGTGAATGGGTTTCCAAGAAGGAATTGTTGCCTATCCCTTTCCTCAGGGAAGGACTGATAGGTGGGAAGGTATAGCCACCTCCCATGGGGCCTTCGATCCAGGCACTAAGAAATGGAAGATTGACATGGTCAGGTAAGGGCCAGCCTGGCATCCTGGCTGGAGTGAGTGCCACCACAGGCCACCCAGTGCCAGCCTTTGTGAATAACGGCTCTGACTGTGAACACATTAGGCTTCAAGAGGGCCCTAGCTCGTGTCCACACTGTCCTAGAAGTCTCAGCTCTGGGGGTGATCACACTCCCTGCTCACTCCCCCCTCCTCCCAGCCCCCACCAAGCTGGAGGGAACCTCTGAAGCCACCTGGTGCAGAGAGCTCTATATAGCATCTCTAACTGGTGACCCAGACTTCATTTTATAAGCAGATGATCTCTAAGGTCCTTTCCAGTTATAGATCACATGGTCTCCAATGACATGGAACTCACCACCTTCTACGGAAGTCCATTCCAAAGGGAAGCAACTCTGATTTCTAGGAGAGAAGCAGCATGGTGTAGTGGTTAGAGGAGCTGACTTTAAAGCCAAGAAGACTTGGATATAACCTCTATCCCTCTCACACTGAAACCTGCCTCCCTGTAATTTGTTCTCACTGCTTCTAGCTCTGCCCTCCGGGGTCGAGCAGTATATAGGTTGACCCCCTTCCCCCAAGTCTTCTCCAAACTAAATTACTCTAGTTCCTTTTGTCAGTCCTCTAACATATAATTTTGTACCTCCCCTCCATCTTGGTCACTGTCCTCTTGGGTTCCAGATGGTCAACATCGTCAAATGTAGACCTCCCTCTATCCATACCCAGGTTGACACTAACCTTAGCCAGTACCTCCTGAGGGGTGACCTCTGAAGATGACCAAGCCGGGCGCACCCAAAGACCACCAAGGTCACCAGCGGGTATCACCACCACTGGCTGTGGCTACGTCACCCCAAAATGATCACAGGTCTTTGAGACAACCCAGAAGGGATCATGAGAACCTGGGACAGATTGTATTTTTGTCTCTGAGAAAAAAATATCCATTTACTGTACCATCTATTATTGACCAGATCTGGGATGATAATGTGACAAGAGGACCCTTGATCTTTGACGTGGGACAAAAAGCCACCATCCCAACCCCTTCCCCAGCTCTGGGAACAGTGAATCTCTCAGGTGAGAGGGGGAGATCCCTTCCTGCTGAGTTGGGAAGAAGACAGGGTATGGACGGTTTTGTCCTTACTGCCTCCCATTTTTCAGGCTGACTGGGAAAGCTCCAGGATTGTCTGGAGCAATCCTTATTTTCTTTACCCTTGTCACCTGCAGGTAGGTATACACTGCACATGCGTGTGCACACGCACGCGCGCACACACACACACACACACACACACACACACTCACACTGTCAGGACATCCAGCCAGAGTCTAGGTGACACAGGCATCAATTGCTCCTAGTGATTCTTGGGCCAATCCAGGCCAAGGGAAGATGATTCCCTGAGGAGGTACCTCTGATTGCCCTCCCACACTGCCTTGGGACAAGTTTGGCCCGAAGCATCCAGCCAGAACCCTTCCTCTGGCTACTCTCAGTTCCTCTCACTGTCTCCAACTCCATTTGCCTGAGGAACATTTCCCCTTCATCTGCTGATGAAGAAAGAGGCGCCTTGTCCTCCTGAGGCAGGAAAGGGGGACTTCCTGGAACAGAGCCTCAAAGCTACAGACTGAAAGGAAGGTGACCCGCTCCTGCTGCCCCGAGAGCTCAGTCTTGGTGCTGAGAACACCTCCCTGGCTCTGCCTTATAGTCTAAAACTCAGATATACGCTCAGCCTCCAGCCCAGAGAAAGCCTCACAAGGATTTCTCGAGAGAATGAGAAGGTCCTGGTGGCCAAAGAGAAAACATTTCCAAGACTGGACCCGGGAGGCAGAAGACTGCTCAATAGTGATCCTACTGTTCCTACATCCCAAGCAAGGCTGACAGATACGGCCTTCAAGTATGTCACCTATTCCGAACCAGAGCAAGGTGCCTGTGGCTGGGTGGCATCCAAAGGGTACAAGGGCTTTTCAGAGGTCCCATGATGGAAACATAGCTTTGACCCCAACAGAAGGATAGACCCTTTGCTCAGAGCTAGCCTGATTTCCCCTGCATTCACATGGTGCACATCCTCCCGGGCCAGCTCTGGCCAGAATCCATTAGGGAGTGGCAGAGGGTCAAAAGAGGCAAGGACTTGGGGAGCGACACATATTGCTTGGTAAAGAATTGGTGGTCTGGGTAGTCCCAGGGGTCCAGGGTGAGGACTGAGTTGCTTCACTCCTGGGAGAAGGGTAGAGGACCTCCTTCCCTGAGGAGAGCCTCAGAGACAAGAGGTGCTGGGGACACTCAGGCACAAAAGATGAGGGGCCTAGTGCCAGGGAACTGAGTAGATGGGGGGGGCCCTTGGGCTTTGCTTGATCTTTGGTGGAAACACCTCCAAACCCAGAGTCTGATGTCAGCAGTGACCCGAGTCACCCACAGAGCCTTGGTGAGGTAAAGGGTTTTCTTCAGGAATTATCCCCCCTCCACTACCATGGTGGGGGGTGGGGGGTGTCCTTCCAAGGTACAGCTCAAGGCTGGCAGCAGGACATCACTCTTCTGATGGGCTCAAAGTCATTCTTGGAGAAGCTGTTCTCCGACCACCAGCCAGGGGCCCATGTGGACAGTCTCCTCCTGAGTCAAGAGAGGGGAAATCAGAGAGCTTGATGGGGGGTCGATTGCTGTTCTGCTCCCAGGAGGACACAGCCATGAGAGACACTTGGCATCTCCTGGCAGCTGCTCGGGAATGGAAAATGCTTCACATGCAAGGAGGGCGAATGATGAATCCAGGACCATCCGGGTAGGCACAAGAGGTCTTAGCTTCCTAAGCACTCCAAGCCCCTTCTTCTTCCCTTAGGAGCCTTGCCCATTGCACGTGCTACATGCTACAAGATGCATTGAATGAGGTGCCAGTGCTGAGGAAAGATGCTGAAAGAGGGAGGTTGCCACCAGTGGGCAGAGGCTCCTGGGTCGGGGAGAACTCCCCCAGCAGGGCTGCAGCAAGGGTGAGGTCTGCCTGCGGCAGGCTACATTGGGCGCTACATTCCCCAAAAGGGAGGGGTGGGCCAACAGTGCTGAAGAGGGTTTGTTTGGTCAAATCTTTTCCTAGAAGGAAAAGTGGGTGGGAAAACAGCACAGTGGAAGGGAAACTGAGGATGCTCACATGACAAGCAGCGGAGTCAGGCAGCTGGACAGACGGATGGCAGAATGGTCACCCTCCTCAGAGACCCTCAGGAAAGACAACACAAACATGACTCTGGCCCCTCAGCCAAGAGACACGATGACGTGGGGGACTGGACCGTTGTGTTCACCGGGCCTGGATATGCATGAGATGGCCCCAGTTTCTTTAAGTCTGGACGTATACATACATATATGTACATGGACTGAATACACGTGCATACATATAAATGTAAAAATAGACACGTGTATACATACAGGTATACTGAAACATGTACACACATATGTGTACATGTACATGGGTTGTGTACACACACATATATACTCAGAACTGTACATACGCACGCGCGCACACACACACACACACACACACACACACACACACAAAGACACAGAGGAGTCTTCTCCTGCCTGCTGAGATGGCCCCAATCTGTGGGCCAATAGAGCGTGAGGAAGTTGTTCTAGGAAGAGATGGTGAGATGCTATGTACAGTGAGCCACCCGGGGGAGGGCGAGGTGGCTGACCCACATCCCCCCACACACGCCCATCCCGGCCTGCCATCGCCGACCTCGCCTTCCTGAGGTCCGGGTCCCCAGCCTCCTAGGAGCAGGAGGGGCTGGTCGAGCTCTCGAGGGAAGATTGGGAGAGACGCCGGGTGAGGGGCCCCAAGGTGGGGTCGGCCACAGAAGATGTGGGGAAGAGTTTGTACCAGCCAGTCACCACGCTGCTCAAGTCCAGCTCCTCCAGCACAATCTGGGCCATTCCCATGAAGCACTTGTGGTCCATGCGCCCATAGTCTCCCCAGACAATCACCTGTACCAGGAAGGAAGGAGGAGGGAGCTGAGAGTTGAGCTATCCCCGTCTTTTTCATTGGAAATGGTCGGCTTCCTTTTCCAAAGGCTTACGAATACACCCAGCTCTCCCCTATTCTTCAAAAGCCTTAACTAGATCGGCCTGACCATCCTCCCGAGCTGCCGTCCCATCTCCCTCCTTCTCCCTGTCTCAGCCAAACTCTTCGCAAGGGCCAACTCTACTTGCTGCCTGCATTTTCTGTTCTTGCGCTCGTTTCTTAGCCCTTCACCATCCGGCTTCCAGCCTCAGCGTTCACCTGAAACTGCTCTCTCCAAAGTGACCACTGACCTCTTTATTGTCAAATCCAATGGCTTCTTCTCAGTCCTCATCTTTCTCGACCTCCCTGCAGGGTTTGACGCTACTGATCACCTTCTCCTTGATACTCTCTCCCTTCTGAGTTTTTGTTGCTTGGCTCTTTCTTGGTTCTTTTTCTATCTGTATGAATGCCCCTTCTCAGCCTCCCTCTGCTGGATCTCCAGCTATCCTTCCCTCTTGGCTCTATCCTGGGTTTTTTCCTTTTTTCATCTCTATACTGGCTTACTTTCTGCATCCTGAGCCATAGCTGGACATCTCGACTTTTGTCCTGTCACTGAACTTTGCTGACTCTGGAAGAGAGAGGGGGCTGACAGCTATGCAACTCTGCCTCACTCAGATCCAATTCATGCTCAAGCCGAGACATAACCCCTTCATATCTCTGGTTCTCTTGGAAAACAAAAACGAAGGATGAACAATAACTGTCTCGTTTGGTGATTTCATCAGCTCCCATTAGTCAATTGCCATCTTTATGCTGATGATACCCAGATCTAAACATCTAGTCCTGACTTCTCTCTTGAGCCAGAATTACAAGACTAGTCCCATTAGGACCAAAGACCTCCATGAGCAGTTGCATCTTGGACATGTCACAGTGGATGTCCCATAGACATCTCAAAGCCAACCTGTCCAAAATGGAAGTCATTATGCTGGCCCAAACCTCCTTCTCTTATAAACTTTCTTATTCCTATTAAGGCATGCATTGCCATTCTTTCTGTCCTCCAGGTATGCAGCTTTTGTGTTATCCCTAATTATTCTCTTCTCTCTCTCTCTGTCTCTGTCTCTGTCTCTCTCTCTCTCTGTCTCTCTCTCTCTCTCTCTCTCTCTCTCTCTCTGTCTCTCTCTCTCTCTGTCTCTTGTCCCTTGGGGGCAGCTAGGTGGTGAAGTGGATAAAGCATGGACCCTGGAGTCAGGAGGACCTCAGACACTTGACGCTTGTCTGTGTGACCTTGGGCAAGTCACTTAACCCTGATTGCCTTCCCCCAAAAAACAACAAAAAACAAACAAACCAAATTTTGTCCTTTCTACCGCCATGACGCCTCTTGTCTCTGTCTCTCCATTTTTCCACTGACATGGCTAACATCATTATCTCTTGCTTAGCCTGTTCAATGGATTTTTAATTATTTCTCTTGCCACTCCAATCCATCTTCCACTCAATTGCCAAAATAGTTTTTCTAAAGTGAAGATTTTACCATGTTACTTCCCCATATCTCATCTGTACCTAGTTGTTTTCATGTTGTTTCCCCTGTTAAAATGTGAGAGCCCCTTGAGAGCAGGGACTGTTTTTGTCTTTCTTTGCAAACCTCACCCTTTGCACAGTGCCTGGGGCATTTGCTTGTTCATTTTCAGTTGTTCCTGACTCTTTTATACTGGATACTAAAGTAATTTACCATTTCCTTCTGCAGCTCTTTTTACAGAGGAGGAAACAGAGGCAAACAGGGTGAAGTGACTTGCCCAGGGTCACACAGCTAGTGTCTGAGGTCTGATTGGAACTCAGGAAGATGAGTCTTCTTGATTCCAAGCTCAGGGCTCTGTCCATTTGCCTGTTGCAAAGCAAGCATTTAATAAATGCTTATGGACAAACGAATCTTATTGATACTGTCTCTACTCTATCTCTTCAGCTTGATCCTTTTTTCTCCATGGATATAACCACCACCCCAGTCCATGCCCTCATTACCTCTCACCTGAATTATTGTATGTTTTTGTCTTTGTATACCCGATACCTGGCACATAGTAGGTACTTATGGATTGGCTAATGGATAGGATCCCAGGATTTAGATCCGAGAAGGGCCTTAGAGAACACCTAGTTCTTAACTTGGGGGTCCATGAATTTGGTTTTAATTTTTTTTGATAACTAAATTTCAAATATAATTGGCTGCTTGTGTGATTCTATGGATTTTATTTTATGGATTTAAAAACATTATTCTAAGAAGGGGTTCATAGGCTTCATAAAAGGTTAAGAACCCCAACCCTCTCATTTTGCAGATGAGGAAACTGAAGTCACACATGGGCTGTAAGTAGGGGACTTGGGATCATAACTGGTCCACTTTCCGACCCACATGTTTCTGACAGGTCCCATGTGTGATGGGGAAACTCACAGCCCAGAGTGATACAGCCCATCTTGGGACACCGTATCCTGGACTTATCCCTGAATCTGTCTCCATCTCATTGCCGGCTCCTCTCCTTAGCCTCCCATCTGGGCGTTGAACTGAGTTCTTGGAACCCTGGCAGTGACAGAGTCACTCGGGTCCATTTAAAGGATCTAGCCCCAGGCTTTGGGTCTCACTGAACCGTGTCAGCTTCCCAGGGCCTCAGATCATTCTTGAAACCCATTTGGGGGACCTTGGTCTTCAGCCCCAGGGCTTTCTTCTTCACTGATTCTTAAACTTCCCTTGATCTCTAACCCCTAGCTGGAGTCAGTGAACCGTGACCTGCCTGGGAAATCAGCCGATCCCGTCCTTCCCGTCCTTCCCCTCCTCCTCCTTCTCCCTCCGCGGCCAGTTTCTGCAATTAGCCCTCAATGCCTTTGTCCCTCTCTCCATCCTTCCCTCCCCAGCTCCTCCCTAGATCCAGGTACGAATCTAGGATGTATATAGAAGGTAAAACAGATAGCAGAGTGGAAAGGAGTTAGCCTCTGGTTTTGGAGTTGGAATCCTGATTCTGGGCTGTGTTAGCAAAGCGCTCAAATCCATCCGCTGGATAAAGTTCTTTATTTCTCTGAACTTCAGTTTCCTCATGCATATAGTGGGAACAGTCTGCTTACAAGATCTTACCGAGGTCATTAAGTGCCTACCACAAGCCAGGCTCAGTACTCTACTATGGAGCTGGGGATACAAAGAAAGGCAAAAGATAGTCCCTGTCCTGAAGGCACTTACTTTTTTATTTTTGGCAATTGAGGTTAAGTGACTTGCCCAGGGTCACACAGCTAGTAAGTGTCAAGTGTCTGAGGTTGGATTTGAACTCAAGTCCTCCCGACTCCAAAAAGGGAGCTGCCACCTGGCTGCCCCCAAGGCGCTTACATTTTAATAGAGAGGACAAAGTATAAACAATTAGTGAATCACTTTGTAAGCTTTAAGGCGCTATGGAAACGAGAGCTACTAATTACTACTACTATTCCTATTATTATTATTATTAAGTCAAGTCAAATCTACTTCAGAGGATGCAATTAATTAACAAATGAAAAATCTGTGGAGTCCCATGCTGGATGGTGCCTGAACTTTCAGACCTAATTCAAATCCTGCTCCTGAACCTCAGCTTCTTCATCTATAAAATGTGACTCTGCCTGTTGTGGGGCAGTTAGCGCTGGGCTCTGGAGTCGGCAGGACTCCTCTTCCTAGTTCATATCCGGCCTCAGACACGTGCTAGCTGTGTGACCCTGGGCATGTCACCTAACCCTGTTTGCCTCAGTTTCCTCGTCTGTGAAATGAGCTGGAGAAGGAAGTGACAAGCCACTGCAGTAGCTCGGCCAAGAAAACCCCAAGTGATGACCCAGAGAGTCTGACACGACTGGAAGATGATAGAACAGCACCCCTGGGATGCTCTGGTTAGCGCTCATTCATTCACCCGGCTCTGGCCACGGAGCTGGGCAGAAAGCTTCCCATGCTGTCCCAGACATCTGGACCACTTGCCAGCTAAGTCCCCATCCTCCCACCAAGGGAAATACCAGGAACTCCCAACAGATACAAGGACAAAATAACTTGGCTGCCCACACAAGATCCCCTCACGGTTCAGGTTCAACGATTCCCTGAGCCTGAGGATTGGCATTCCCAGTCCTTTGCACAGCCTGCCTCCTTGTCTTAGCTCTTTTCTCTGCCTCTGGGGCCCCTGACTAAAAAAAAAGCGCGTTTTTTTCCTGTCTGTCCCCAGCAGACCCTGCACTCGGCTTCATGCCCTTTGGCCTGCCCAGCAGCCTCAAGCTCAGGGCAGCTGACCCTCACCCACTGGCCCGTTTCCCTTTGTGGAGGTCAATTCTTATGCCTTACAGAGTTCTTAAGTTTATAGCTATAACATTTTTTCAGTCATGTCTGAATCTTTGTGACCCCATATGGGGTTTTCTTGGCAAAGATACTGGAGTGGTTTGCCATTTCCTTCTCCTGCTCATTTTACAGTTGAGGAAACTGAGGCAGATAGGGTTAAGTGACTTGCCCAGGGTCACTCAGGTAGTAGGTATGTCTGAGGTCAGATTTGAACTCGGGTTTTCCTGACTCCAGGCCACTACATCACCTAACTGCTCTCAGTTCAATTTAGCTCAGTCAGCTCAATTCAATTCAATTCAGTTCAATTCCGTGTGGCCACCTATGCGACCCTGGACAAATCAATAGGCCTCAGTTTCCTTATCTGTAAAATGAAAAAGTTTAACTAGATGATCTTTTAGGTCACTTCCAGCTCAAAATCCTAGAATCCCATGAATTCAACACACATTTATTAAGTCACTGGGGGGTTGGCCCTTGTGTCCTAAGGATCTATGGGTTTATAATTCATGGGAGCCTAGAACCTTCGAGCTGGATGGGGCCTCAGAAGCTATCTCATCCAACTTATATCAGAACAAGTCCCCTCTACAATAAGAGGTCAGCCAGCCTTTGCTTGGAGACCCCCACTCCATTTGGGGTTAGTTCTAATTGTTAGAATCAAGGCTGCCCATTGCCTATTTCCAACCCCCATCCCCGCTTCTGCCACATACCATCACCAACTTCTCTTTCCTGAGTCCTTGCCAGCAGGAAGGCGGTAACAAGAAAACATTCCCACCAATTCCCCACCTGCCTTCCATTGCTCAGCGGTACTCCAGCCATCCCTGCCCCCAGACAGGAAAGCTTAGGGCCTCCCCACTGAAGCCCTGGCTTTACCCAGAACCCTCTGCCCCAAGGAAACTCACCTGCAACACCTTTCCCTGGGGACCCTCATCAAATAGCAGGGCCTGATGGTACAGGGGATCACATGTCTTCTTAGCCATTCTCGTCTTCTTCTTGGCCAAACAGGCTCCGTTCTCGAGCAGGTAAACTTTGATGTAGGTGGCTGGAGGAAGGAGAGGGTGGCATGTCAGCTATGGAAGGCACGGTGCAGGGCGGCCCAGGATGTCACCCCTAGAGGGTCTCCATCTCCACCATCTCTGAGTAGCCCAAACCTGACCGGTGGTTCTCCAGTCTCTGCTTGAAGACCACCAGTCCCAAAGAACTTTGGAATAGCTCTGTCAGGGAGAATTTCCTTCCATCCATCTGAAATCTGCCTCCATGAAACTTCTACTCTGTCCTCTGGGGCATGATAGAACAAGCTTAATCCCTCTTCCGAAGAGCCCTCTGAATACTTAAAGTCAGCGGTCATGTTCCCTTCTCTTCCCAAGGCTAACTACCCCCAGTTCATCCAACCAGTGGCAAAATATCAAGGTCTTTTCCATCCAGGTTCCTTACTCTGGACACTCTCCACCTCATCAGTGTCCTTAAAATATGGCGCCCAGAACCCACTACTCTAGATGTGATCTGACACTCTATTGTGTAGCAGAACTGTCCCTGCTATGATCTTAGACTCTGGACAACTCTCTTAGTCTAGACTCTGAACAACTTTCTTAATGCAGCCCAAGATTGCATTCTTACTTTTGGCTGCCATCTCATACTACTGATACTACTCATAATGAGCTTGCAGTCCACTGAAACCCTCAGATCTTTTTTCAGGCCAAAAAAAAAGGTAGTTGTATCTAGTCTGTACTTAGGAAGTTGATTGTTTTGAACTCAAGTGTAAGATTTTCCCATAATCCTTATTAAGTTTTATTTTTTTAGACCTTCTTCCAAGCTGCCGATCAATCATTAATGACTACTCTTCTGTAGTCTAGTCAATCAGCTCTTAATCTACTTAGTGTATGTAGCAGAGTCTAGCCATACCCCTGGGCCCCAAGCCTTGTCCAGGGAAGTTACACTAACTCCTTATCTACCAGCCTAGAAAACTTATCAGAAAGAACAGGAGATGACTCAGAAATCACTTTTCCTTGGTGAAGATTTATTGGCTCTTTGCAACCACTCTGTCCTTTTCTAGACACTCCCTCGTTCCTTCCACTGACCCTCTATTGGCACAGTTTTGCCCGTCCTGGGCAACCTCTCAGATGCCCTCCAGTCTTTGCTAAAACGTAGTCTCTACAATTAGGTGAGGAGGAGTAGACAGCCCCACTCCATCCCTCCCGAGCAAAGTTGAATGATGGGCATTAGGCTTTGTGTGGGAGGAATGCCCACAATCCCTCAGCCTCTTAGGATGCCAGTCTCCTTACTCTTTCATAATTCCCCATCAGCCTCAGGCTAATAAGTAGGACCTTAGCGATCTCATGCCTCATCCTACCTCCTCATTTACAGAGAAGGAAACTGAGGACCAAGATCACACAGCTGGCAAGTCGAGGAACCAGGACTTGGACCCAGGTATTCAAATTCCAAATCTTCCAGGTTGGGGTGTGACCCACAACTCATGCTTGGGCCATCTCAGAGACTTGGAGCTGGCCTGTCCGCCCTCCAGCCCAGCCCCCAGGACTTGATTCCCACTTCACTCTATGAAGGCTTTACCTGGGAGGGACTTAGAGCCCAGTTTGGGGGTAAGGCCTCGGGCCTCAATCACTTCCACCTCGAGCTGACCACTCCGGTCCATCATTGCAATATGAACATCCCCTGGGCACCAAGAAAGAGAGAAGTGAGGTACATTCTGCTGGCCACAGCCACGAAGGGAACTGGGTTCAGTTCTCAATTTTCTATATTAAGGGAAGATAGTCCTTACATTCGTCCTTCCAATGACAGAAAAATCCATATAACAGATAGCCCAAGGGGAAGAGGCTGGGAAACTTCTCAAGTTAGAGTGAATTAAATTATTCAGTTGGTGGACTGTCCATGTGTAACATGGTTTGGTGCATGCCTAGGCCACCGGAAATGGTGTCTCCCACATGGGAGATGCTTGGGAGTGGATCCTGGGAAGCAGAAGACCTGGCACGCTTGGACAGCATGTGTTGGCCTACCAAATGGGCTGGCAGTAGCCTCTTTCCATTGACTAGCTGACTGGTGCAGTCTCTCTCTTCTTCCCTCAAGGCCAGGGGCAGGGAAGGACCCATTCACTCACATCAGGTGATGCCACATACTAAGAAGGGGAAAGGGCCACCTCCCCTTCCTCTTAGGTCACGTAGCCCCAAGAAATGGGCTTGGGGCTTTTGTCTGTTTCATTTGTCCTTTGAGTTTCTACGTACAGGGAGTGAATCCCTAACTGGAGCTCAAGGCAAGGGGATACTGGAGCCCAGGATTATGGGCTGGATGTTGTAACCAGGCCAGTAGTCAGCCAGTCAACACGTATGAAGAGCCTGCTACGTGCCAGGCCCTGGGCTAAGTGCTGAGGAGCCATGATGCAGAAAGATGCTGGAGGCTTTGGATTTGAATGTGTTGGGACTAACGTTATACAGGAACCAAATTAAGCTTTGAGCCTAATCTCCCTCCCTTCCTCAGAGACTAAGGCTCTACGGAGGGGATTGTGTGCCTGGGGTGGGGGAGCGGAGTGTTTGTATACTTTTATATACTTTTGTATACAAAAGTATACGTTTGTATACTTGCTCTTCAAAGACACAAAGACTGTGTCTTTGAAGGAAGTATTTCTTTGTACAAGTTGATCTGACTGTGGTCAGTCTGACTATGGGAAGTAAATACTTAAATGGAACTGGAGTGTTTGGACTCCTAAATCTGGGGGATTTCACCCAATGGCAGAGAAGAGAGATCCCCTCATTTCCCCCTTAAAGATACCAGAGAATCATGGGGGTGGGGTGGGGGAGGGAGAGGGTGAAATATAACAGAGCTGGCCCTCAGACATGTGGTTTGTGGGGAACCCTGGCTTGCTTTTCTCCCCCTGCCCCCACGACCCTACTGCATCAAGGCTCCTGTCCCAGCTTCCATTCAACATTCACTTGGGCAACCCATACTGTTTTGTTTTGTTTTGTTTTTTTCTTTTTGGTAAGGCAATCAGGATTAAGTGACTTGTTCAAGTTCACCCAGCTAGTGTCAAGTGTCTGAGGTCGGATTTGAACTCCTGACTACAAGGCCAGAGCTCTATCCACTGCGCCACCTAGCTGCCCCTCAGACTCATTTTCATAGCAGTCCAGGACAAATAAAGCAAGGAAGTAAAATGGGATCCAGAGAAATTATATATGCAAACCAAAACAGAATCAGCTGGAATCAGCAACTGTTTCTTGGGTTATCTGTAATTTTTGCATCAGCTAGGTCCAGATTAAATTTGCCAAGTTGGTAGAGAGAGGGCTGGACCAAGGGGGAGGAGGAGGGAGGGGAGGGCAGGGAGTTGTTGTGATCTTGCCTGATTGCCCACAGCAGCCTAGAGGTCCTCATCCTAAGTCTCCCCTAAGCAGGCAGTGGGGCTCAAGGGAAACAGAGTCCAGTCCTACACAGCTTTGGTCTCCAGGGGGCACTACTCTTAAATGTTCGAGGCCAGCCTAGAATTATAGAGGCGCTGAGTGAATCTCTACCTCATCCCAGGGAGAACCTAGACATTTGGGTGTCTGATGAATTAGCATCATGGACTGTAGCTGCAGCAGGGGGAACCAAGGTTAAACTTGGGGACGCACTTCCCAGTAATGTCTACACCATGCTACCTATAGACATCCTTCTGATCTTCTGCACCCCGTCCCACCCCCGTATTCCCCCACAACACTGGTGAGCTTTCACCTTGTCTTGCCAGGAAACAGGCCTGGGAGCCCTCTCCACACCATGCAGCCTCCCTGTGTCCCCCACCCCTTTCCAGCTGCTCTTTATGTCCTCCCCTCTCTTAGAATGGAAGCTCCTTGAGGGCAATCTTGTTTGCTTGTATTTGAATCCCTAGAGATCAGCACAGGGCTTGGCACAGACTATTTACTGAGCTCCCCCCCTCCTCTCTCCCTCTCTCTCTCTCTCTCTCTCTCTCTCT